TATTTATTAATGAAGATATTTTTTCCAATTACCCATTTTGACCATAGACAATATTAATTTAACCATACAAACAAATATTATATTTTGGTGCGTTTCTTCGATAAAATATGTGTTTTGTACGCCTAWTTGTAGGCAASATTTTTTATTAATATTTATATAAAAGAACGGGTGTGAGCCAGCACATTATATTAACGACGGTGATACGGTATCAGACATTCTTTTCCCCACTGTGCGGCAATCGCTTCATTGCGTCAGTCAACGACTTAGTCAAATTTATTGCTCGCAGGAGAAGATCTGCGAAGCATCGCCGACCCAACAACGCACAATAAGCGCACAGCACGCAGGAGATGTGTCGACACGCCCTGTCATTGTTATTAATTGTACTTGAACAGCGCGTAGTGGCATTCGCTATGTGCCTACAAGCTTGTCTACATACAAATACGTACATATATGTGTAATTGGAAGCGTGCTGCAGCGGCTTCCGGTTCTAGGAATTTACGCCAACACCGAGAAGCGAGTAATTCCGCAAATGAAATGATTTTGTCATCATTTGTCGCTGGCTGCCTGTCACATTAGCAAACCTACAGCAGCTTATGTGTTTTTGTCGAGTATATGTGTACTTGTATATGTATGATGTTTACTTGCAGACATGACGAGTGAGTTACAAATATACTAATATGACAGAAATGAATTTGTTAGATTCCTTATTCCTTCACATCTGTCAGTAGTTATATGCTAATTTAAGGTTAGAGCAAAACGTAACTACCTACATATGTAAAAATAGCACATGAGCATATATATGTACATAAATATACAAATTAGTGAATTTAATGTTTTTTTGTTGCCGCTTTGCCTGTGTCAAACTGAGGGATCTTATCAAAATATGTCATTATTTGTATACTTAATGCCTTCGCACATGTCCAGTATAGCCTATATATGTACACATATATATATATATATTTACATAAATAATTATTATAATGGCTGTCCTAATATTTGTGAGCGGTTTTGCTTAAACATTTTTATTCTGGTATTCAATTACGAGTGCCCTAATTGGTCTATAAATACCACAAGCTTGTTTAAGAACCCAGTTGTAAAAAAAAAGGACWACACATATTTATTTATTCGAAAGGTCCTGACTTTATTTCCCTTAGATTCCGGTCACTCGAGCCACTCATATTCCAGCCAGTTCTTCCCTAAGAGCCAACAAATCTTTTTTTTTTTCGTTCTGTTCTTGTCTGAGGGCGGAATTTTCTTCTTTATCTGAAGCCCTGAATTAGATTTTCGAACCATTTCCTATCTGAAGGCATCGAATTTCCCTTAAATTTCATATTTTTCACTCTCAAGACTCCACCTTCCAACATATTTAGACCACACCTTCTCTGAGGCCGCGAATTTTCATGTTATTCTGACCTGTAATTCCCTAGGGCCTCAAATTTGCGACATATTCTTTTCCACCGACCTCTTCTTCTATAATTTCTTTGCTGAAGGCTCTAATTTCTCACATATTTCGAATAGTCCTTCACTGAGGCCTCAAATTTTCTTCTGATCTAGCTAATTATTCTCTGAAGCTTATATTTTCGCAATTTTGTGCTCAGCTCTTTAAAGAAGGTCAAAATTATTATCATATTTCGACCATTTTTTCTCGTGAAGCTTTAAGATTTCCTCATATTCCAACCCATTTTTCCCGACGTTCCAACTTTTTCTCATATGCCGACCAGTTGTTTTGTTGTTATTGTAGCGGTAGAAAGTATKCSKAGTTGACAGTTCTTGGCTGGATAAGAATCCGGGTCCGTTGTGGTTACTTAGAYCCAACTGYTGTGGAAACCAGTTGTTCTCTCACATTCCAATTAGTCCTTTTAATTCTCTAAAGCTCAGCGCAAAATTCGTCTCCCTGTATACTATTTACCATAATTATTATATGTATGTATACACATATATCTCTTCATTCTAAGCCGAACGGTAAGCTTTTGTCTGCACACCGCTTTTTCGGTTAAATACATTGTTCTCGCTAATGGCTGTGGTGCCGTTGCCCATTTATTACTCGCCTGAGCTCGGTGTGGCTTTTTTGTCGATTACGAATGACTTCCTGGTTGAATGGTTGGCTAGCTTCGCTTGTGTGATCTCTATGAGCATAGACTTATATATTTGGTATAAGCTCATGTGCTTGTGTCTACATAATTACATATGTGAGTGTGTATTTCTATGCACATTTCACATATGGCAGTTGTCAGTAAAATTAATGATTAGAAATGMCCTTTTTTGACTACCGCATATGTATTTGGAATTATAAACTCATTTTCTTTTTTAATTTGGTAATTTGTAGATTTTGCTAATTTTGAAGCATTTAATATTGCTCTACTTAAAAGCCCAACAAGTTTTGAAGGATGCATCCATCATACAGTGGTCATTTATTATAGTTATTACCGTATTATATTTTATGTGGGTAATTAGAAGATTGAAATTCGTGTGGATAGCTTGCGGTGGGCTTAAAATGTTTTCTACTCGAATATAAAAGCTTATATGTATTTAAAATTTATTCGAACTTATTTAAAAATTAATTGCATATTTTATATTGTGGTAAAAAAGTGCCCGGAAAATTAAAATCCCCGTGTAAATGATATTTCAAATATAATGTATTTTGCTAAGTTRGTTGAAATGTTCTTAATTAAATGAGGGCGATTGGTCAACCAGGTTCTTTAAGTTGGTACACCGCAGTAGTGCGTTGCCATTTATACTCGTACAATGGATAAAAATCAAATAATTTGCCTTAAATTTATGTATTTCTAACCAAGTTTCATGTGCGAATTTGCAAAATTCAAAGATAGTCGAGAGATCGTTGAAGAAGTTTAAGATGAAAGTGTTAAAAAAAGTTAAGGATATGGTGCTTGAAAATCGTCTATCAAGTGTTAGAGAGTTGGCAAGAGAGCCGTCAGTTTGGTTGAAAACAAACGAGCCGAAAACAAAAAAAAAAAAACAAAGCCATGCAAAAACCGCTGAGAATATTCGTAGAAAACCGTCGGAATTTTGGAAGAACAATTCATGGATTTTTCACGATGAAAATGCATCATCGCATCAAGCCACGCATATGACCGAATTTATATGGCACCGTGTGATTTTTATTTTTCTTCAAACTGAATTTGCTGCTTCSTTGAAGAGAG